GCACATGAGTGGAACTACTGAGAAAGAAATAAAGAAGGATGGGGTAGACGTGCGAGGCACAAAATTCGACGACCCCATTTAAGGAAAGCCTCCTCCGAGACAACAGACGAACTGCTCGTCGGACTTTTCTCAGACCTCAAACCAATTCTCCAACTGTGTAGGTCGAGATCAAACAATACCTAGCATCTTGAGGGGATCATCCATCAAAATTAAAACTCCAGAAATAGAGACTACCTGCACCACATCCAACCGCAAGGCCACAGACTTGTCGTCGTTGATGTTGACTCTTGTTACCTCCTCATAATTCCTTGCCGAACTCGTCATTCTTGGCGTTGCTTTTCACGAATGCGATAACGTTGTCAGCATAGGCGGAATATCTAGCCTGGGTGTTCGCACCACGGAGAATAATTACCTGTAGGACTGGATTCGCTTTTCACATGCGAAGGAAGGGCTCCAACGCCAGAATGTACATCATCGGCGAAAGTTAGCAACCCCGAGGAATTGATCTAGGCAACATGAAATATTTCGACATTACGCCATCCACTTCCACTATGGCACGGGTAGTGATACAATAGATGTATCCAGGATCAAAATTACGTTTCGAAGCCAGCTAACTCGAGGACCACCTTATCGAATGCCTTGGACTGATCTAAGTTGATCATCTCGGCTTCACTGTCAACTTTTTCTACTATCAAGTGTACCAAATAAAGGTTGCCCTTAAGAGTCCGACCCTTCACATAGTAAGTCTGCACGGGGCCAATCAGACTACGCAGGACAGCCTGCACATATTGGCTAAAACGTTGGCCAAATATTTAAATCCGTATGTAACATAGTTAAGGACCGGAAATTATTAATCCCATCCCCTCTGGTAAATCATTCGGAGATACTCCCGTTCTTCCTTCATTGTTTAAAACCAGTTCCAGCAGCAAACACGTAAGACTGCGGCAAGTACACCTTTCATTGATGTCTTGTCTCTGCCGACATGCTTCAACGCATCCCAGATCTCTTCCTCTGTGATCAGACACTCGCACTCTGTCACTTGAGTCGCCTCGAGGTGAGGAAAGTCAGCTAGAGAAGTGTCGAAGTATGTCCTGCTCATACCGGACTCACTGCTAAAAAAAAGACCATGAAAATAGGATCGGAACGCCTCGAATAAACCGTCCTTTGTAGTCACGGTACGCCCATTCGGCAATGAGACGTACGAGAGATATCGGTCTGCGATACTTCGAACATCTTCAACTCGTAATTCAGCGGTCATATCTGTTGCCTCTGAAGACATCCTTTTTATTCTAGCCTGACTACCAGAGCTTAATAGTTCTTGATAAGCAAGGAAACTAACTCTCCACAAGCTGCAGCTATTTCCCCAATATCTCCCAATTTTATAGCCACTTCTCCACTAAATTATTGAACTGTTTACTCTGCTATTCTATCTTGGTTGAGCGCCTTACTAAAATCAGCAGCACACGACTTAATGGTGCTTAAGTTTAGCCCACCAGTTGCTCCCAATTACATACCCTGTAAATTCTCACATTAGATTTAGTAAAAGCTGGTTCTAAAAATCCTTCTCATCGAACAACGATGTGTTGAATTTTCAGTAGCCAGCCATGCCACTTCTAGACTTATCTAAGTTTGACAAACCCTGATAAGCCAATGGTCCGAATAAATTATTGAAAGAAGACTTGGATAGTGTAAGGGGCCAAAGTCACCTCTCGTAACTAATACCCTGTCAATGTAGCTTGTACGCAACACCGAAGCCGAGCTGCCCCTATTAGTCCAAGTCCACACTTCCTCCCCAGAAAACTCATTCCTGAACATATCGACAAGTTCCAGTCTGTCAATAAAATCTCGAAATGCCTTTACAGCCGGGTTGTTAGTACACAATCTAGTCTCCGTCCGATCTTAATCGGGATCGAGGACAGCATTTCAGCTACCTGCTAACATTATCTGACGCGATTTCTTCAGAAACGGATAGATCCGACGAAAAAGGCAGCTCGATCCCCGGAGAGTTTTAACGTATAAACCCCAATGAGATGAAATATCTGATCTTTTATGGAACCAGTACCTCACTACCACAAGTTGATTATTTGCCTTCAGCTTCCTCTTTAATTCCTTGATCTTTTCAAATTTTTTTGCATCCCGGGTCATATTATTTGCACTGCATGTGTAATATTTCGCCGTAACTAGCCGGTTTATCACCTATGGGAATGGGACTTTTTGTGCTCTTGCGGGTTTCATCTTGGGGCTTCTCTCTGCAATTTGCATACTCCTTACATTGAAGATTTTCTGCATCAGTCTACATGAATTTGAACGAGTTCAATTCCTCTTTTGGAGAGTGTTGTCCATCTCAACAACGTTCCCTTTTTTAGATAAGCGTTTTCTTTGATAATTTTTACGACAAGTGTCTACATCCAATGTTTCAGTCGGATTAAGATTTCGCATAACCTGAAGTATTTCAAAATATCGTAAAGTATCAATTAAATAGTACTGGTTGCTTATTCTGTGCATACTAAGACTTCAATAGATTAATATGTCGCTTTCGTCAACGTAAATCATACTACCAAGGTGCTGAATAATTTTTTCCTTCTCGCTAAGTTTGTTTTTCGGCACTAAAATTTCGTGCAATAATTTACTTGTTATTGCGGTAGTAGGTCGTTTACACTTTAATATCTCGGACCATTTTGTGAAACTGGCGACAAAAATAAATAGTATGAAGCATTTTGTGATCCAGTAAAGTCCATCTCTAGTCTTGCTCACGGTTCATTAGTGCTCAGCTATGCCTGATAATTTATAAGAGGTGATTTTGCTCCTGAATTACAACCACTATATTTTCTCACTATGCTTCAGATATTTTAGTCCAACTTTGGTTAATACACGTAGCTTCTTAACAAGGACATCATTTTCACTATTCCCGGATGTCCTTCGAGAAATTGTATTAAAAACCTTTTCTGTCGTGATAACGGAATTACAACTCTATCCGCGTACAAAAGTGCTCCATCAGAAATAGAAAATACTGTATTATTGTTAGAAAGTTTAATTTTAGTTTATCTCCATTTCGAGTTAATGTCATTCATAGTTTTTTTTCCAATAATCCCATCCGTTTTAGAATAAAGTTTGATATCGTATATCATGACCGATAATTCTTTAATAGTGTTACACACCAGTCTTTTAATTTCGCTTTCGGATTTCAGCAAAGCCATCACAATGTCTTCAAAATATTTTAGATTTCGATATAAATCTGGATACGCCGTTTGCGTGTCCCAATTACTTTGACGATAGAAATTCAGTCGTGCAATCAGAGTTCAGTAAAATAGTAGATCAAATTTGCCTCATATTATACTGTGAATTTTCTCTACAGCAAATATTATAGACAGCGATTTCCTTTCAATTTGACTGTAGCATTTTTCCGTATATTCAAATTTCTTGAAGCGTGAGCGACTGCTTTACTCTTCGAATTTATGGCCTATTACCGCTCATATGACGCATTCACTCGCGTCTGACGGTACTATTAACTATCGGTGCGGGTCGTAACGTGTCAGCGATAATTCTGTAGTTATTAATTATTTAAATCCTTCAAAATGTTTTTGACATTCCGCTGACCAATTCCATTTCGTTCCCGTTTTAGGTAAATTATTCAGATGTGCTCGCAATTTGTAAATCTCCGATACACAAATATTATAATTCGTTAATCCGAGAAATGATTGAAGGGTTACCAGATTTGTCGGGAAGGCATGTCTTTGATGGCACTTGCTCGAGCGGGATCTGGTCTTCTTCCCTTTTAGTCGATTATCTGACCTAAATATTTGATCTTGAGGAGAAAGAATTGATTTTTTGTTCACTGATTTTGAAACCGTATTTATGTAGCCTATTATATACTTCCTGACTCAAATGTACGAGCTTTATTTTCGTAGTCCTTTTAATATGGATATCATTTATGTAAACGAATACACCGTCTAGTCAAGACAACTGCTGAAAATACCTGGAGCAACTTTTACACCGAAGGGCAATCATTTAAACCTGTAGTGTCTTTTATACGTATTAAGAGAGAAAAAACAAACAAACTTCGATTTGAAGATATGCTTCAGACATGTCAAATTTTGAAGAACAATACCACCATTTAATTTAGAAATTACACCCCTACAATTGGTAAAAGGCAGTCATTCAATCCACTTGAAAAATCTGCACATGAACGAATCTTATTTTTCTTTCTACTATAAACCACTGATGTGGTCCAATTTGACTAATCTATTTTTTTGAAAACCTCCGCGATTTTCTAATGTATCCAAGTCGGTGTTAATAGACACCAACGCAGTTAAATGTATATTTCTTTTAGGTTTAAACACGCCTACGACATGTTCATTTAATTTAAAAAATGTTTTGATTTTGTAAATTTTCCCAACTCCTCTGTGAAAATAGTCATGATTTATCTTTTAGTCAATTCAGTGTTTCTTTAGCTGTAATATTTTCTCTGACGAACAATAATTTTTCCACAGAATGAATTAATCGGCCAAATCCATAGTTCAAATAATTCTAGCCAATTGACACATAGTAAATTCGAGTTGGAATCTTTTAATACATAAACATCTGTTTATTTTTTGTTTTGCCCGCAAGTTATATTCCCAAGAAAAATTCATTTCTTGTCCGATATCCTGCTTGCAACTTTGTCAGTTTTACTCAAGTTAGGCTTGCAAATTCCGTTCTAAGTTTGTTCATCCGTAATTGTAATATCGCAATTGAAATCTCACCGTACCGTTATTCATTCTTACTGTTATTAATTTTCTATTATTGAAAGTTTTTAGATTTTTATCAAGTAGAATTATTTTCAAGAAGTTAATCTGTGTATTTATTTTTATTTTCGATATGCAATAGCTTTGTTTCTGACCTGTTGTTCCACACGTAAAATATTCTTAGATTTAAATGGACATTTTTTTTTCTGTAATGAAATTGAATTTACCGACATGAGTGAAAAAATCTTCACTTTTGTCCTTAGTAAGATTTAAGTAATGTCAACGTGTATAACACAGGGAATTTTCTGAAAATCACCTCGTACCTTCTGAAGTACGATAGGAATGATTTTTTTTTTCTGGGACGTAATGAAATTCACTGAGTTAGCGAGTGAGTCCGGCGAAAAACGAAACTGACGCATTGTTGTTTTCCTTGTTTTACCCAGGATTGCTTTGATCTCTTCTTGATATTCAATCTGCTCCCGTTGCATTTGTTGTAATAACTCCCTAATAAATATCGTCGATTCTTCCTTAGTGTATTTAGTTCGTACCAAGGAGTCCTTTAGTAGAAAGATTTTTTTAATAGCAATATATCATACAGTGTTGAAGTTTAACGACTTCCGCGTCGCTTTCTCCCTTTGTCTCTTTTTTGTCTCTGTCTGTCTGCCTTTCTTTCTCTCTCTCTCTGTCTCTATAGATATATATGTTTGTGTATATATATATATATATATATATATATATATATATGTGTGTGTGTGTGTGTGTGTGTGTGTGTGTATAAATTCTTCAATCAAAAATTAGAACCTGTAATCAAGGAGATCAAGTCAAATAGCAGGGGTAACGGACAATATATGGTAGCAATAAGCGTGGATAAATGATAGAAGTATATGTGTAAGATAGATGATTCCGGAGAGAAAAAATATTGCCTCGGACGACAAAGTGAACAAAATACTTAGCAGCTAAAGTAGCAATGGAGTCAGTATAGTCTTTGCCCTGATGGAAGCCAGAGAGAAGTATCTCAGACGATTAATGGAGAAAGGATTCTTTTGGGAGCGTTAACACTAACAAGTAAACTTTTACCACCATTCAACGACGGGTTTGTTATCGTTTTAGACATCGGCTGACAATATAAACTTGTCGGATTGATCAGCTTTACAATCATGGCAGGAGTAAAAGTTTGGGTCATCAGCATAGATAACAAGTTGAGAGCTCATGTCATCAAGAACGTCATTAATGAAAAATATAAACACGGTAGGTACAAGGTCGGAGCCCTGATCGGCACCTGCGTTAGTACGAAATGATCTAGCGGATTGGCTGTTCAGATTAACCTTCATTTCACGATTTTATAGGAAAGATCAGATCAGTTCAAAAATGTGTCAGGTGACACTGCATCTTTTATACTTGTGTAGAATATCTGTACTCCAAACACCTTTAAAGACTTTCTAGATGTCCAATGCTCAATTATCATGAAGAATGCATGTTATGAAGTAGTTACTCTTGATTCCTATGTCCACGATCACATTCTTTCGTTTTATTTAAGATAGCCTGAAAGGAAAAACAAGTAGGTTTAATTTTATATGATTAAAATAAGCACCCGCATTTTGATTTGTATGGCGTGACTATATTTATGTTTACTTATTTTTTGCATTTTTTCTGTATTAGTAACTTGGTTAATTATATTCTGTCTGCTGCTGACTTAAAACTAAACAGAGGTATAATATAATCTAAGGGATTTTTTTATATATATATATATATATATATATATATATATATATATATATATATATTAACTGATTTAGAATATGGTTTCTTCGCTACACCGTAATAAACATGTTTCGAAACTGAAGGTAAATCTTCAAATTTTAATTAAATAATTAAATTAATTCATCTTCAAGTGAATTTTCGAATAAATTATTTTAAAACGCACATATAAATTCATAATTTCCTGTTTCCAAGGATACAGATAAATCCAATCATTTAGACAGAGGCGGCAGCGTGTTCATTTTTATTAACTATTGTTGTATCAATTATGAGTTACATTTAAAAAAGAGGTTAAGTTTAGAGAGGTTAAGTGTTTTTTTTTTCAACGAATTCTGACATCCTTTAATTGCATGAATTTCGGCATTTTTTTCGTACTTTTATGAATAAAGATTCTTTCTAAATGGAGTGTTTTGGTCAGAATACGTTATATTTAACTACAATTTTAAAATATTTTTACTCCTAATTAATAATAGACTATATTTCTTTTTAAATCAAGTAAATGTAATAGAATTACTTAAATTATTTAAAAATTATTTTTTCATACCAAATATAAGTATGCATATTAAGAGCTTCCATTTTTTATTTTATTTTAAATATTATTTAAGGAAAACTTTGACAATGACGGCAAAGAATAGGTATTTCTTTTCTTTTGAGTCAGTAAATTTATATATATATATATATATATATATATATATATATATATATATATATATATTCTTCTGTATGCACAAAGGATATGGGTCATTTAATGACCTACATATTCTAGTTTTTTTTTATTCTGAAAACATTTATATCTATCTATCTAACTATCTATCTATCTATCTAAAGATATTCCTATCTATCTATCTATCTATCTATCTATCTAAACATTTTCCTATCTATCTATCAATCTATCTATCTATCTGCCTGTTTCAACCTTTTCATATATATCTGTCCACCTATCTATCTATTTATCTGTTTATCTAAACCTTTTCACATCTATCTATCTATCTATCTATCTATCTATCTATCTATCTATCTATCTATCTAAAGATATTCCTATCTATCTATCTATCTATCTATCTATCTAGATATATCTATCTATCTATCTAAACATTTTCCTATCTATCTATCAATCTATCTATCTGCCTGTTTGAACCTTTTCATATATATCTGTCCACCTATCTATCTATTTATCTATTTATCTAAACCTTTTCATATCTATCTATCTATCTATCTATCTATCTATCTATCTATCTATCTATCTATCTGTTTAAACATTTTCCTATCTATCTATCTATCTATCTATCTATCTATCTATCTATCTATCTATCTATCTGCCTGTTTGAACCTTTTCATATATATCTGTCCACCTATCTATCTATTTATCTGTTTATCTAAACCTTTTCATATCTATCTATCTATCTATCTATCTATCTATCTATCTATCTATCTATCTATGTATCTAAACATATTCCTATCTATTTCTATCTATCTATCTATCTATCCTTCATCTATCTATCTGCCTGCCTGTTTAAAACTTTTCATATATATCTGTCCACCTATCTATCTATTCATCTGTTGAGCTAAACCTTTTCATATCTATCTATCTATCTATCTATCTATCTATCTATCTATCTATCTATCTAAACCATTGTGAGTGCGTGCGTGTGTGTTTGAAATATGGACACGCATGCGTCGGAGGTACATTCAAACTTTATAGAAGCAATATTGTTTAATTTTGCACCTGCAATGGCATATTTATGAAATATAATTTTGAGGTTTGCATAAATTTACATGAATCTAGTCATCTTACATATATATATATATATATATATATATATATATATATATATATATATATATATATATATATATATACGTACGTTTATGTCATATAGTTACATGTCTATGCAATTTTTTTTTCGTAGGGTTATTTATTGGAAAAAATATATTGGCTTTCTTGTTATGCGTGCGCTTGCGTCTCTTTAGAAATATATTTAAAGAAATATTTGGTTCGTGCGCAAACGAATAGAGCAGAATTGCAGACATGACTGAGCTGATCTGTCCTAAGAATCTTGACTGCAGCTGTTGCAACATTGGTTGAATAGAGATCATAAGGGTTCGACTAAGAAGTTCAAGCTAGGGCATGCAAAGCATAGCTAACCCTTCATCTTTGAGAGCATCTTTCGAATATCTTCTGATTGCCTCGTAGCGACACATTTATACAAGGGTCGATGCTGTTAACACTGTCGTTTCTCAGTGGCGAAATTTTCCTCCGCAGTGCAAATATCATTTCTGTCTATTGCACGTGCCATAAGAATTGCAAATTATGTTCTGACTAAGGTTTCAGATTTTCCATTATAGAAGTCACATGAAAATGATACAGTTATAACAGATGATGAATTACATGAAAACCAATTAATAAGTTATATATACATAATATTATCGATAGATCGTTTTTCTGAAAATAATAAACATAAACTAAACATCTTAAAGACTTATATATTAAAAAATGAAACCAACTTTAATAAAATCAATTATGAATACTGCACAAATGTTTTAAAATGTTTACATGAGATTTAAAATATCTAGTTTTTAACTGATAACTTTAAATATATATATATATATATATATATATATATATATATATATATATATATATATATATAAATAAACATCTTAGTATCTTAGTATCTTAGTTACATCCCTTGATATATAAAATATAAAACTTGTATAGTTCATAAGTTTAGCGATCTTCACTTCCTAAACGCAAGTTTTTCTTAGATAGAGCAAGACCCTGGGGATGACATTTTGCTATTATAGTAAGTACTCGAAATAAATGAATATGCAACAGTATGTTAAATTTCTTTCTTCCTTTAATAAAGATACTAAGAAGGGTGTCCCTGAATCTGAAAGGATCATATAAAAAAAAATCAATAATTTGAACAAGAACTGGTCAAGTTATTAGGTTACGAAATGATATCGATTTTTTCTGAAACAGCCATTATATCTGCAATATATTAAAATATTTTCCTTTCATTAATTTTCTTCTGTTTCATTCGGTTCGTGTCTGAAGAAATATTTAAATGCTGATATATAAACATTGTGATACATTTTTCATCTTTAAAGGAGGAAATAAATAATAATCGATATAAAAGAAACAAGCAAGAGGAAAATGAAAAAGGAAAACAAAAACTGTTATAAGCCCCGTGGAAACTGAATTCCATGTTTTTTTCTTCGGTTTTTTCTTCGTTTTTTTTTTTTTTTTTTTTTCCTACTTCTGACCTCTTTTGTGTTGATGTTACACATCTGCAGAGATATAAGCTGATGTTCATTCCACTACTTATCCTGTATCGACCGGTGCTCATCATGTCTTCTACCCAAACCCGGGATAGCTTAATTTCCGGTTACACAGGCAAAATTGTGAAACAAAAGCCCAGACTAGTCCGAGTCAGGCTAATCTTCAAAAGAAGTGCAGACTCATTCCCAAAGAACATTTTGCCTGACACCACACATATTCTAGGGGATTATTTCCACCTGCCATACACCTATATTTGTAGCGGATAACAGAAAATTTTATATTTTTTAGTTACTTATTTTACTATTTTCAGATTTCTGCTTGATAATCTCACACTTCACTTATATTTTGTTTATTGTTTGGTTTCTCGTCGCAAAAATATTTATAATACTTTTTTTTTCATTCATATCAGGAAGAAATGACCGATATACAAGACGGTTTTTTGTTATTCACAGATATCACAGTTTAAATCTTCAATGCATGAACAAATCAGTTTATTATATTTCTGTTCAAAGTACCCAGGTAAATGCAGTCTACACATTTAAGGCTATTCAAATACAAATAAAACCTTAAATAGAGAGAGGTCAATATCTTTATCAAAGCATAAGCAATACTTTCAAAATAGTAAATGTGTTGCTATTCAGTTAGTTGTGAAAGGTTGTGAGATCGATCCTGAAGTTTATTTTTTAGCAAGAATCGTTAGCGGAGCATACTATGCAGAGTGATAAGATCCTACCAAAAGGGAACACCTAGAAAATGAATTCGTATAGGCTCGAGTATAAACGAAAATATCTACCTCTATCAGAATCAATTGCATGCATGCAGACTCTAATATCATCGGGTAATATTTAGCAATTGCCTATACAAATAAATAATCATAGATTAAAATAAAATGTTTAAAAAGACTGATGTTGATATTAAATAACGCAACAATTGTCTATATTTCTGAGATGAGGTATTATGCACACTATTTACATTGTTTGGACTATCATCCTCATATTTGTTGCCATATTTATCACAACGTTTCGGCCGTTGTACGCTAAAGCCTTCTTCAGGTTGTTGGAATGTCGAAATTAACCCTTTATTTAGACTGTTCTAGTTCCTCGTGCCATGTCTAATGGATGACAATTAACAGTTATCCCTTGTCAATTCATCTCTCCACCAACTTAACCAGGAATTGAACTCATACTCTTTGGGTAATGTCATTGGATCTACCTAATTCTTCACATGGACGCATGGCACAGTCGATAAAGGCATTAGTTAATCTTTGTGTACTGCAGTTTTGCACTCGTCAGTATCTTTTTAGTGATTTTCGTTATCGTTTACATTTTATGATTGGGTATTTCATTTTTTTTTGTCCTTTAGCAGGATTAGTAGATTTATTTCTATCTGTGTATAGATTTCTGTGTTCCTTTAGTTGAAAGTTGAGATATAAGTTATAACATTTTCTCATTTTTCCTTTTGTTTCATATAGATGAAAGCGGAGTACAAAATCTATCAAATTTTAGTTTCTTCCCATTTTATCAATGCGACTACAGAACCACTGAACAAAGGTTGACCCATCAACAATTTCAAGCCAACACTTAATTCATTGTATAAATAAGTTCTACCAAATTCTCCTTACTATAAGCGATATATATATATATATATATATATATATATATATATATATATATATATATATATATATATATATATATATAGCTAGTTACGTCTCTTGATTTTCATTATTTCAATGATTACGTATACAAAGTTTCACTCACAAAGCTTGTGCAAACTCGAGCTTGGTTTACAGACAGTTAAACAAGTGATCGTTGATAATATCATAAAGTCACCTTCCTTTCAAATTTGAGCATAGTGAAATTCGAACCCGGATCTCATGGATAGAGAGCAAACAACTCTCTGTCTATCTTTTCCCCAATTCTTTCTCTATCAGACTTCTAACTGTCGATAACGCCACAAAAATCCATCCTTATCTTTTTGCTTACCATCTTGCCTCCAATTCAACGGCTAATCTTGACAAATGTACCAACTCCAATAAGCTTCCAGACTATTTCGCCAACAGGGATGTTTCCATTCTTCGATAATCCCTTATAAGTTAGCTCCGTAATCATCAGTTAAATCAGTATTAGCATTCACATGTTCAATTTGTGGTTATTGTTGTATTCATTTTTTTCATTGAAATATTCAGATAGTTACTTAAAAATAATGAATGATATGAATTGTTAAAAATACCTACCAACATTCATTTCTAACAAATGTACATATATTTAGAATATATTTGCTCAATAATTTCTTTCCATCCACTTCATATTAGAAATATAAGAATGCTATTCTGGTGTCTGAGAAAATCATTATCCTGGTTTTTGTTTCATCATTGTATTTTATGATGTATTGCTTTTTAAGGTATTCTACTTAATATAATAAGGTTCACCTAAAACCGCTATAAGGTATGTAGTATAATTGAACTAATTTCCACAACAGATTTTGCTGTATTTTGCTTCAAATCAATGAAAACAGGTCTCTTCCATATTCCGATATTAGCTTCATTTTTCTTGAGGATTTAAAAAGTGAATGTGACTGAGTATTTCTTAATTTATCACAGTTTTCCATTTTTCCCGATCTCTTTGTCAAAAATCGTAATATTGTAATAAATTCATATGCATGTTTTCAACACTTGCACATTTTAGCTAATCTATTAAGAAATATTCTAATAATGATTCGTATATATTTGAAATTTATATTTGCCGTAAATTGCGGCGTACCAGTCGAGATTTCAAGCCTAAAATATCTCCAAATTTAGGGGTCGACTTACATTGAGGGTATATCACATGGTTGTAAACAAGGAAAACAGCACTTCTAACAATGTACATCACTTACCGTACATTCAGCAGCCTGACACACACACACTTATATATATATATATATATATATATATATATATATATATAGCTAAAACTTCTTTTTAGTGAATATACCTGGCATATAACCACATAAATTAATATAAAATAGGAATACGAATTCAGTATTCTACTAACGAATTTTAAATGTTCGCTAAATTATACCGATACAATATACAGTTCATACTGGAGTGTGTTGTTTGCTATACTACGCATATATTACTGTTAGTGTATCAATATACAGATAATTGGTGTGACCTTACGTAGATTTGGAAGAGATTTTCGTGTTGCTGTAACCTCGCCTAATTTACCGGTATGCCGAAATTTTGGGGCACTGGTAGATTACCATAAGTTAGTGCGGTCAAACTATACGGTAGGTATGGGCCTGATTCAGAAATTTTAGCTAAAATCTCGAGGTCAACTTTTAAGCCAAGTCAACTTGCACACCACAATTTACGG